AATAAGATGTGCTTACGAGGGATATCGGTGCAGAGTACAAAATAATATAAATGATGATCTAAAAACTTTTTGGGATTTCTTTAGATTTAAGCAGACAAAACTTAATAGAATTCAAATTACTAACGATGGCCAAATGATTAGGGGCGCGACCTATGCAGAGTTTTTTGATTCATTATTTCATTCTGTATGCATATAGTAAGGAGCGGCCCACTTTAGATCTGAGGGAAGCGGAGTGAACAGCCGCTCAACTTGTGTTCATATCGGGTGGATAAACTTGCCAAATGTTCGAAGGAGGTTCGAGTTCCAAGGTGGATGAATATAGAGTGGTAGCCATATTGTTTGCAGTCGCTAAGGTATTTGAGTCGATTATTTATAAATACGAGTATGTTAACAAGTAAACTCGCAATTTACCGAAGTTCAGCATAGTTTTCGGCCAGTTTGGAGTACGGGGAGTAATTTAATGTCTTTTATAAATTATGTTGTGCTAGTAGTGGATGCTGTGAGCCAGATGGACGTGGACGGGGTATTTTGATTTTCGAAAAGCATTTGGTAGTGTTGATAATGATATCCTGTTGGTAAAGTTTGCTGAGTTAGGTTTTATACCTAGCTTACTAGATTTATTTGCAAATTATCTAATTGGACTTAAATAATAAGTAGATTTCGCAGGTCTTGAATCGCAACCGTATTGTACTTATTCTGGTGTGAGTCAAGGGAGCAATCTTGGTCCTTTATTATTTATGTTAATGTTTAACGATCTTCCTACGGTTGTTGAAAACGCGCAGTGTTTGCTACTTGCCGATGATCTTAAATTTTTTTTGAAAGTGAACAATGCTTTTGACTGTCAATGTATTTGCAAAAAAGCTTTTAGGAATCTTGGCTTCTTAAGGCAGTACAGGGATTATCAGAATTTATTTACTATTAGAATTTTGACGTGATGCTCTAGTAAGAAGTTAACTTTAAACGAAAGAAATTGTTTGGAACCCACGTGACATAACTCAAAATAAATTTACACGATTTTATACTTCAAGCAGTAAGGAATTTATCCTTGTTTTCTGGGTATGGTTGGTTACAGCTGCCTGAGTGTGAGGAAAGACAACGTGCTTTTTAAATATGTGTGGAAAGTATCACGTTGATGGATATCATCCAGATGCGCTCGCTGTGCTAAATCTGCGGGTGCCTAATAATTACGTATGTTCTCGTCATCGTCTCCCGTTACTTCTCGTGCCCGCTGCTAGGACAAAGTTGCTTCAGAATGCACCATTGTCACAGATAATAATACATCTCACAGGATATTGACATCTTACTTGCAGCGAGACAAAATTCATAATTGCAGCATACATATACTTTGAAAATTGTAATTTTTTTAATCATTATTTTATATTACAATCATGTTGATAGTTTCATTATCTATCAGTCAGTAGTTTTCCTATATTAAGGTTATTTATAGTTTAATAACTGTAATGATGTTATAATTATGTAATAAATAAATATTGTTTGTCATCAAACATTTCAAAGACGAATAAATTTTTATAATTACTGTTTTAATCCATCAAATGGAAAGTTAAGCGCTCCATCTTGATAAATTCTCGCGTAGGTATCTTAATTTCATTAGCTAAACTTCTTTGGACATTTCAAAAGAAATTAATAAAAAAATATGTATATAACAAGATATATATTTTTATTTATTTAAAAAGGCATTTATTTGCTTATTTACGTAAATTAATTTGGGTCACAATTCGCAAGATGTTTTTGTTGAATCACAAGACCGGAGTAAGAATTATTACTATCTTAATTTAGCAAAATACTCAAGGGGATTCTACTTAGGTTCTTCTACCTTATCTATCTTCTATTAACAATTTTGAGCTTTATTTTGACTATAATAGGTATTCTTCTCAGTAAAGAACACATAACACCTCACGTGGAACCTGAAATCTCCTCAGAAGCGTGAATAATTTGTACTATCATTTATTTATTCATTCATTCTTCAAGGGCGCGCGCCGATGTAGTACTGACCATGCCTATGTAGTACACATAGTTGTATGTATACATGGTATATATATTTGCCACGGTCTGGGTTGGTAACCGCAGTTTAATTATTATTTTAATTGTTATCATGAAGATAATGCTAGTCATTACCAGTTTCGTTTTTCTCTGTCGCCTCCTACGACACCCATGGGATTGTATGGGGTAGTAATCTTACACCGCGACACCATGAAGAAATTCGTACTTATCGTTACTATAAATCTTTCGATTTAAGATATTTAGCACACATGAGATCGTTAGGAAATCCTCTACACCTAAATAAGATCTGATGTGATTTAACATGAACCTAACTTTTATATCTCACGTAACAAACACTGCAGGGGATATATATTTATAGACACAATTGTGAAGAAGGTTTTCAAGTGGCAAACTCGTACCGGTATGTGATGTGTGGCACCCTACACATCACTTACCGGTAAGATTACTGGTACTCCACTAGATGGAGTAAAGAACTCGTAAGACATACAGGAAATCGATGGATGTGAGTAACTCAGGACCGTGCTTTGTGACATTCTTTATTTATTTATTTATTTAGGTAACCATACAGCGTTTTTATCGTATTTACAATACATATTATCATATAGTATGGCCAATAGAGATTACACAATTTTTATCAACTAATAATTAAGCGTGCGTGCGATCGTGCGTGCGTGCGTGCGTGCGTGCGTGCGTGCGTGCGTGCGTTCGTGCGTTCGTGCGTGCGTGCATGCGTGCGTGCGTTCGTGCGTGCGTGCGTGCGTGCGTGCGTGCGTCGTGCGTTCGTGCGTGCGTGCGTGCGTGCGTTCGTGCTGCGTCGTGCGTGCGTGCGTGCGTGCGTGGTGGTGGCGTGCGTGCGTGTGTGCGTGCGTGCGTGCGTACGTGTGTGTGTGTGTGTGTGTGTGTGTGTGTGTGTGTGTGTGTGTGTGTATGTGATTATGCCCTATTTTTGTTTATAACATCACGTTTGATGCGACTCTTGGATAGGTTGAAAATATCCAAGTCAGCGTAAAACTTATTATAGTTTTGAACAATAACGACATAAAGTAGAATTTTTTGCGTAATTTGTGTTTGCCCGTGGTACGTGAAATAATGGCGTATGTCTAGTTCGGTATTTAGGTACTAGTATCGATATTTTAGATAACAGGTCTGGACAATCTATGTTACCAGACCATAAACTGTGTAGCAAAAACATATCGTGTTGAAGTCTTCTGAGTTCCAAGGTATCTAAGCGGTAAAATTTGCAAGCATCTTCGTATGAAGCCAAACTATTATGATCTTTTGATGAGATAAACTTAATGAACAGTTTTTGAATTGATTCTATTCGATGCTTATGCTTCGCATACTTTGGAGACCAGATTGTATTAGCGTATTCGAGAACACTCCTTACGTATGCAAAGTATAGAGTTTTAATGCAATTAATACTGCTAAAATCGTTGCAGACGCGCTTTATGAATCCAATTTGCTTGTAGGCTTTGTCAACAATACTATCTATATGCTCATTGAACGTTAATTTTGAGTCCAGCCTGATACCAAGATCTCTAACTGATGATACACTCTTTATGGATTTATTGTTAATTGAATAATTATAATCTATGAGCTGTTTCTTGCGACTGAAGGTTATTTTGACACATTTTTCACTATTGATAGTAATTTTATTTTTGCTGTAATAAGTTTCTAGGTTTTTTAAATCGTTTTGAATCAGAACACAGTCATCAATTGTTTTTATTTTTAGATAAATTTTTTTTGTCATCTGCGAACATTAAATAGTTTGAATGATAGAAGCAGTCACCGATGTCAAATAAATAGGCGTTGTAGAACAAAGGTCCGAGTATTGAGCCTTGTGGGACACCAGATGTTACCATAATAAAATCACTACGAGCACTACCCAGTAACACTGCTTGCCTTCTGTTACTTATGTATGAAGTTACCCATCTGTGCAAATCACCATGAATACCCAAACTGTAAAGTTTACGTAAAAGGATGGCATGATCAACACGGTCAAATGCTTTTTCAAAGTCCGTGTATATTACATCAACCTGCTGCCTGTCATCCATGCTCATATATATGTATTATTAGAGCTTCTTTCCACTTACTAGGAAATGTTCCATAGGTGTTAACAGACATATTAAAGATTATTGAAAGAGGCTTGGCCAAGTGTTTTGCACATTTGTGTATAAATAGGGGGGGTATGCCATCGCTACCAGGCCCTGTATTAGTTTTATTTGTATGTAGAATACGAGATACATTCTTAGTACTAAAGTATATATTATGTAATATATCATTTGATTCTACGTTTGGAATATGGGAATAATCGTAAGAAGAAGAAGGTTTTTGAAAAACACTTTCAAAGAATTTATTAAATCCCGCACACACGTTCGTTTCGTTTGTGTATGATTCATTTCCTAATTTTAATGTAGTAGGGTATGTAGAGTTGCTATTACGTATAGATTTTAAATAAGACCATAATATTTTAGGATCTTTTTTTAGAAGGCTTTGCATTTTATCTAAGTAACGCTCGTGGCACTGTTTCTGTAATTTCTTTTGTCTAGCACGTAGTATGCATAATTCGTCATAATCACGGGGATTTTTATATTTTTTCCAATGTTTATGTTTTAAGAGCTTTTCTCGAATAATATGCCTTAGTGATTTAGAATACCAAACAGGGTAATTAGATGAACGGGATAAACAAGTAGGTACAAATTTATCAATTATTAGGTGTAGCTGGGAATAAAAATTTTGAACTACGACATCAATTGAGTTGCCAGTTGACAAGGAAGACCAGTTGACTTCTGAGAGGGCTTTATTTATTTTATCGTAATCAACTCGGTTAAAGTTTAATTTTGATCGTGGTTTATTTTTTAAGCAGGGTATTAGCAGATCAGATGCGTCGAGCAGTAAAGAAGGATGGTATTTATCCTCAGATACAAGATATATTTGAGAACGAGTAACGTCTATGTTTATGTTACTAAACACTAAGTCTAGCACGTTGCCACTATTGTTGCTAATAAATTATGTTCATTTAGCCCTGATAAGTTGCATAGATCAGTTAACTTTATTGTAGCATTTTGTAATTCTACTGGACTTTGCTTAAGCATTACGGGACTTGAAGAGGACCAAGATATATTCGCTAGGTTGAAGTCACCGGCAATTATAAAATGATCATTTGGACATTGAGTTATGATTTTTGTGAACATTTCTGTAAAATTATCTAAACGCTTTGATTGATAATTATCAGGCGGTATATAAACAATTCCGATGTTTAAATTACGTCTGTCTTGACAAATTAAATATTTTCCTGGTATACCCACAAACATTCGAGATCTCTACACATCCATTCCGTCCGTTCTTGAGCTTGTAATTGTGTATACGTACAAATCATGACCCCCCACCCCCCACCCTTCTTTTTATGCGAAGATGTTTTATTTCTATCATACCTAAATATGTCGTACCTATTGTCACATAATTCACCGTTGTAAATACCATCAGTCAACCAAGTTTCTGTAATGAGTATTATGTTGAAGTTATTACAAATTATACTGTCTCGAAATTGCCTAGTTTTAGTTCGCAAGCCACGGACGTTTTGATAGAATATGTGCATTGAGTTATAAGGCACTTTTAGCATGATTTAGGTACCATTGTGTTGTAATTAACTTATAAAAAATATATGTATTATAGTAATTGATAGTAATGTAGATAATAATTATGTTATGTAACAGAAATAATACAGGTTGAAGAATCATGAGGGATGGTTTTGCAACAGACAGGAATTTTATTTTTATACGAGGTAAGAAATGGTAGCTTATACATTTCTTTTGTAGGGCATATTGGTGTAAATATTCAGTATTGATGTAAATTTTGAAAGATGTGTGTGAATGTAAGATTTTGATGTATGTAATAATGGATGCGTAAATCGTGAGTGTTGTTTTATGTGTTAAATATGTAACTATTAATATTAAAACATAGCATGCTAATACTATCAAAATTAATCTTAGCATACAATTTGTAATAAATCTTTTTCGGAATTTATAGTGATAGCGGGAGACTCCTCGTTTTTCCTTAAAAATATGTGGCAGTTTTTGACCCAGACAAACTTATATGATTTGGCCATTGCTCGTGATTTTACTATTTTCAAGAGTTGCTTATTCTCAGGGGTCAGGTGTTTGTTAACAAAAAACCTTTTGGCTGGACCACCCAGTCCAATATCGGAAGTAGTAATTCCTTTGGTTTTTCGGAGCCCTGAAATAATATTATCTTTAATAGTGCGATTCTGAAATTTGACTACAATGTTTTTTGGGCGACCTCCAACATTCTGCATAGGCTGAACTCGGTGCGCAAAAACAATTTGATCATCCGTAAGCTTTATTCCTGCATGGCTGGCTATTTTGATTATTAATTCAGAAGTTGATTCTTTTGAGTTTTCTGGTAAACCAATAATCTCTAAGTTCGAAAGTCTACCCCATTGTTGTTCTTTTTTTATTTGCGCACATAATTCCGCCAGTTTTATCTCGCCATTCTGGACATTTTGTTGAAGTTTTTCAAAATTACTTTTAAGACTGTTGTAGTCATTTAGCAAACTGTTATGTGATTCTTTCAGCTGTTTAAGGTTACTAGTTATTTCATTTTTTATTTCAGTGATAAGTGATAACTTCAACTCTTGAATTATATCGCATTTTATAGCACTGAGTTTTTTGTCTAACAGTAAGTCTATGCTATTAATTAATTCCAAATTATATGGTTGGCAACTACTGGTCTCAGTGATACATGTAGGCTGGTCAGAACTTTTGTTTGATGATCTATACGTAGTTTTATCGTAAACGATGTTGGAAGGAGACTTATTAGTTCGTATCGGAGTGTTACTGTTATCACCACCTTTTCGACAAGAAGCAGTGCAAGCAGGACACTTCAATTTTGATCTTGAAGCAGTATCATTATTAAAATTTATGCACTCTGAATGGTAGTTATGTGAACATTATGTGCATTTTATTCGTTTTTGAGTAACATTTATGTTTGCTCTGCATGCTTCACACCTTCCGCCCATTTTACTATTCAGTAAAGCGTTAAAATGCAGAGAATGTAATACGAATTATATGTACAAAAAGTGCGTCAACTCCAATTTACAGTGCAGTGGACTCGATCCTCCGTCGCTTTAACTTTTAATTGATGTGCACACCGTTAGGCCGTTCGACCAACACGCCTTGAGCAGATACGATGAAATTTTTGAACTCCTTGTACGATATGCAATAGTCCTTCAAGTTTTGGGTAAGTTAAAATGATTTTGCTAATTTTTCTTAATTTAGATCACTTTTATCAGAACTAAGCACCAATGTACTTTAAAAAACTATTATAGTCTCACAACTATTGCACTATACCACTAAATAATGCTATTTGAAACGTTTAACGATTAATTTGATCGGAACACTTTTTAACACGTCCACCCGCTTAATGTCGGTACTTTTAATTCAATTGAATATTTATTTCTGTTATGTATCCATTTATATCAGTATTTATTTATAATTTTTGTTTGATGTACTTTGAAAAACTATTATAGTCTCACAACTATTGCAATATACCACTAAATAACGCTGTTTGAAACGTTTAACGATTAATTTGATGGGAGCACTTTTTAACACGTCCACCCGCTTAAAGGGAGGCATATGCTCAGCAGTGGACTTGTAAAGGGCTGTAATGATAATGACGTAAAAGATACTCCACAGGATTTTCTCCTGTATCGTTAAGGCATTTTACATTAGGCAATTACACACAGACGGACATCAAGACTCAAAACAAAATTATTCGTAAACCATACAAACAACTGTTCTCTGCGAAACCGCGATTTGAACCCGCGTCCCTATAATGCCGCAACTAAATACATAGCCATTACGCTGCCGATCCGTTAAAAAGACAAATGTTCGTGAATATACTACTTTACATATCTGCTTATGAAAAGGAACAGTCCTTCAACAACAGTTTTAACTGTAGGAATCAGCAAAAGATTTGAGTGTACTTTATTTACCAAGTTCATAAAATTGTGCACTTTGAATTCGTTAAAAGCAAATATACCAATGCCTGTAAATTTCTGTGGAAACATTTTTAATATAGAATAAGAGTGACAAACGAGTACACAGTTCACCTGATGGTAAGTGGATTCTGCGGCCCATAGACATCTACATATATCCGCAATTAAGAACCAAAATAAAGAGGCGTTGTTACTCCGAGGACTTATATGGAATGCCTCGTTTCCAGTTAAAAGGGTCTCCGGTTCTCTTCACTCATGATACAAAACACAGCAGCATTATGCTGCTATTTTACGCTGGTATTCTGTGAGGGCCTGGTCCTTCCCCAGTTGAGCCAACCCATTCGTGTTGCAACCAAAACACAGTTGTAGCAGACGTGGCAACTATGGCAACTATCCTCCCTGTCAGGCAATTTTTAGGGGTATAATGTTATTTACCTTTAATTTATGTATACAAATATATTATTTGAGAACAATAATTTCTATTCGATTCAGCTTGCGACGATTTGGTAAAGAGAAAAACTGTCAACGTTCAAGACGCTCAATAATGTGGCTACTAAAAAGTTTAGAAATGTTCTTTGTTCATGATGCTGTAAGTTAAACTTTCTCGCTTTACTTTCAAAAATTTCTTGATTGCTAAAGTCATCTGTCATAACAAGCACTTAATGGTTGGGCTGAAAAGTTCGTATCGTCTCTATGAGATGGCGCCACTAGAATAAAATCCATATCATTTTTAGGTAGTACCAACCTTCAAAAGAAACGTGTATAAATTTGACAGCTGTCTGATTATTAGTTTGGAGATGCAGCATTTTGAGTGAAGCAACTTTTTGTTATTTTGAAAAAAATGGATAAAAAAGGAATTTCGTGTTTTAATGAAACACTATTTTTTGATGACAAAAAGTGCTGCTGATACCAAAAAGTGGCTTGATGAGTGTTATCCGGACTCTGCGCCGGGCGAAGCAACCATTCGTAAGTGGTTTGCCAAATTCCGTACAGGCCATATGAGCACCGAAGACGATGAACGCAGTGGACGTCCAAAAGAGGCTGTTACGGACAAAAACATAAAAAAATCCACAAAATGATTTTGGAACATCGTAAGTTGAGGTTTATTTGTATAGTTGACACTCTAAAGATATCAAAGGAACGTGTTGGACATATCGTTCATGAATATTCGGGTATGCGAAAGCTATGTGCAAAGTGGGTGCCGCGCGAGCTCACAATCGACCAAAAACAAGAACGTGTCGATGCTTCAGAGCAATGTTTGGAGCTGTTCAACCGCAATAGAAGTAAATTTTTGTATCGATATGTGACAATTGATGAAACATGGATCCACCACTACACTCCGGAGTCCAGTCGGCAGTCATCTGAATGGACTGCACGCGATGAACCGAATCCAAAGCGTGGAAAAACTCAACAGTCGGCCGGTAAGGTTATGGCGTTCGTATTTTGGGATGCACACGGAATAATTTTCATCGACTATCTTGAAAAGGGAAAAACCATCAACAGCGACTATGATATAGCGTTATTGGAGCGTTTGAAGGACGAAATCGCGAAAAAACGGCCCCATTTGAAGAAGAAGAAAGTGTTATTTCATCAAGACAATGCGCTGTGTCACAAATCGATGAAAACGATGGCAAAATTGCATGAATTGGGCTTCGAATTGCTTCCGCATCCACCGTATTCTCCAGATTTGGCCCCCAGCGATTTTCTCCTGTTCTCAGATCTCAAGAGAATGCTCGCTGGAAAGAAATTTAAAGCCGATGAGGAAGTAATCGCCGAAACAGAGGCCTATTTTGAGGCTAAACACAAATCGTACTACAAAAATGGTATTGAAAAGTTGGAAGATCGCTATAATCGGTGTATCGCCCTCGATGGTAACTATGTTGAATAATATAATCGAATTTTGCCAAAAAAAATGTGTTTTTCTATAAAACGATACGAACTTTTCAGCCCAACATGGAAACATATTTAATTCATATCTTTATCTTTGATAAATTCGTATAAGTTAAATATTAAAAAGGACTATAGCAAACTAAAGAAAATTAAAAGAAAAACCCATATTTAATAGCTTTTGAATGGTTTTAATCCTTTGATACACATAACATTTTTTGTTTTTGAAGTCAGCATTGATTTTTTTGTTTTAAAGTTAAATACATAATAACAGGATATTACACAAAAGGATTAATGTTTGATCCTTTTATATGGAGTGAATAATCACAACCTTCAGGTTGTGATTATTCACTCCATACAAAAGGATTAAATTGAAAGAATAAGCGAAATTTAATATGTTTTTACATAAAGTTGAAGTGACGAACAAACTTACAGTCCTTAGTGACGTACCTGATAGTAAGTGGCTACTGCAGTCTGTGGACGCATGCAACTATAAGCAAAGAAAGTTCCTTATATATAAAATGCCTCAAGGCATGTACCGCAACATATGCTTTTCAGGCCGAAACGCAGCATAGCACAGTCTGTAAGGTATGAGAGAGCCGGTATAATTACAAGCTGTAATGCATTCCATATTAGATTTCAGATGAGACACTGTTGCCTTCTTTGTTTGAAATTGGTTGGTTCATTTGTGTTAGATAAGCTTCTTACATAAAATACTATAATGCACAATAGAATGGCTGCCAACCTTACTTTGTAGGAGGATTAGCGTTTCCGGAAGCACACATACAAGCAATTACGTCGTATTATCAGTTATCACTACTACAAACACATTTTAGACTTTTGATTAATATTTTTGACACATAAATGTTTTTTTTTAATTTTCTTTTCTATTCTATTCACAATTCTATTCTATTCACAAAATATACATAGTTTCGACTTATTAGTTGTAGAATATGTCTCTCTTATTTAAATTCCATTTCCCGCTGTTCTTTCGACACGTAATTATAGCACAATTTTCCATTTTTTAAATAATTTGCATGCAGCGACGCTTGACACGAAAATTGGAAACGATTGATTGTGTTGACTTTTATACGTGTGAATTGACGTGTTAGTGACATGTTAGTGGCTTTACGGGCTCTGCCCACTCCCCCATCTATTATGTATGTATTATAGTATTCTATGGCTTCTTACCATAACATAGACTGTAATTTATTTTGTCACTAAAATTTAATAACATAAACATGTGAAAAGAATAAAAACCAGTGTAGTGCAAAACGGACTCGCGCATGAAGGATTCAGTACCATCGCACAAGATATAATACTATGTAGGTACATTTTAAATAATTTTGTAAAAGAAACAAGTGCGGCTCTAAAACAAAGCGTAAATATTCGTAAAGTTTTTTAAATGAATTGTGTGGGAACACATTTAATTTTATATATAATTTAATTCTATTGTAATTTTGTCAGTATTTACTGTTTCTAAATTAATATCTGATTATTTTCTTTGTAAAGATAAAGGTCGCCTCTTTACTTGTACTAGATGCCCTACAACAACATGAATAAAATATCAACGTAATTTCGTCGCTACTATTAGCAATTTAGTCCCATTTTGTTGAACATTGAAAATAAATAAAGATCTCTTGATTATATTTAATAAAAGCCATTTTTTATTTACATCTCATTCAGAAAGACTTAAGTATAAAATATAGGACAGGCAATTAATGATTAATTAATTAATTAATTCCCACCTTTGACGTTATTGCCCATCTTCAGTCTATTCAGTAATTTTTTTTAACCTTACGATTGAAGTCAAAAAGATATTTCGCAGACAGTGCTTCCAACCGGAGACTCAAATGAATGTAATGTCGTTAGACCCGCGCCTGATCTCTCTCGTCGTATCGAATAGCCGTCCCATCGAACTATGGCAGTGGGCGAATAGAGAGTGCTCGCGCATACGCTATCGGATTCTAGTCTTTGTTAAGGCCGTGACTAAAACTATGCTGGAAAAATTTAATACACATGTGCATCTGTTGACGTCATGCAG